TCTGGTGAGGGGTCATTACTCATGTGCCTGAGGGTCCTATAATATATATGTCTACCTAAAAAGTCAAGCTGTGGGTTGGGAAGAAGTATTTTTTCCCCTGGAGTCTGCTATCTTTGTCTAAGGCTTATATGTGACAGGGAGAATGCAGGTGAGGCAGATAATGATTGCCTAGGAAATGCTGCTGATAAACTTTTCCATCCAGCTGTTTTTGACCTGAATCTAACTGTTGCCTAGGGCAGAAAGGAGGCCACTCATTCTGATCTACATTGGAAAGAAAAAAGGGAGGTAACTGAAAGTTGAGAGAAAAGCCTCGGTGCACTGATGTTTTAGTTCTGTTCACGTAGGATTCACTGTCCAGTATAAGCCCCCATCTCTCAGGTTGTCTGCCTTATTAGCTGTAGTGTGACCAGAGATTTCCCCAGATTTCCTAGGGAGAAGCCCTCCTTAACAAGAGAGAAAGAGAAAAGTCAGCCTGAGAGTTGTGATGGGAGGGCTGTATTGGAGGGCAAACTCCACCAGAGTGCTAGATGATCATGGCCACTTCCCAGGCAGTCCCCTCCAGTTTGGCTCAACCTGCACTAACCTCAGATGAAGAAGGGTCCCTTTGTGGTTGCCACATGATATGCAGGAATTTTCCTGTTGTGATGGTCCTTGTTACTGTTTAGATGGAAATCAAAGCTAGTGCTGAGTCAGGTTAGACATTGGGTTTTACAGCTCTTTAGTACCAGAGGGAAGAGATTTTGGCATGAACAGTTATCTCTTGGGATGGAGAGGTGTCTCTCTTGTGCAAACAGGTGTTTCTTGGGAAGAAGAAGAGGGTATTTCTCCCCCTAGGTAATCGTGATCTTTGGGAACACGTGGACTTCCTGCAGTGTGCCCCTCAGAACATCTCATTGGAATTCCAAAGCCTATTTTCTTTGGTTCCTAATTTCTGAATGAAGTAAATTCCTGTGCTCTTCTCTTTTTACATAATAAAATTCCTCATGCATTTTAGGATCTATGCACATTGTACAAAAGGTGACACTCTCACAAATTGGGGAAGGAAGACACTCATTCTGTCGAAGTTTTGATATGGCTCTAACACTGGCTGATGTTGCACAGGGAGAATCCCTTTCCACTGTGGTTCTCTTCATCCACTAAGGCCCACTTAACTGCACTTCCTTCCTGCAGCTAGCTGGTGCATCCTCACAAATGTCTGTTGATAAGGACTTGTGATTTTCAAGAGGTCAGATATGTTGTAGTCTATGGAAACTCTGATCAGAAGACAACTAGATTTATGTGTCCCATGGGTGGAAGAAACCAGGCAGGACACATGGAGGTAAGAAAAGGGATAATGAAATTTAGTGTGTAGGGGAGGGGAATGGAGGGTGGCCAGGTGGAGTGGAGAAGCAGGAACATGAAAAAGAGTGCTTTTATACTATCAATAACTTCTGGCAGTGGGATGTGTGTGTGTGTGTGTGTGTGTGTGTGTGTGTGACCACCAATAACCTATGAGTGAGAGGATGTGGGCAATCCCTAGGCTGGGGTGAGAGATCACTCTGCATACACTTAGGCTGATTTTCAGGCATCCTAGCTTCAAGTGGATGGAATTTTCCATAGGATTTTTTTTTTTTTTGCCTAGCTATGTAGCTAGCAGAGAATTTGCAATTGGAAAGGAACCTTGGCTATTGCTAAATTTTTGCAATTGAAAAACACACAGAGGGAGTGGGGGAGGGAGTCAATCTGAAATTCCCTAGGTTAATTCATGCAGGTTTAAGAGTCCCAATCCTTCTCTATTTTCTAACCTGCCTCAGATATATCCAGTGTCCTAAGGGAAATGTCTTTCCTACTGTCTTTCAAACTTGCTAAGACAAGGGATTTGTGCAGCCCAGCCTGTCCACTGCTCACCCCAGAGGCCTGGTGAACTGGGCTTCTACCCCTGCTCAGCCCTGCCGGGTCCCCAGGCTCAGCTGTGCTCCTGCTGCTCATCCCAGGGCTGGAGATGATCTTTGGTCTGTTTTTTTCAATCTCTCTTAACAACATTTTGAATCTTTTGGTAAGCAATTCTTTCATCTCAGTAGTTAAGTTTACTTCTAAGTAGGTTAGGCTGGCCTTGAACTAATCCTTCTGCCTCAGCCTTACCTGTGAGGCACTGGAAATGGCATTGGTTTCCCGATTTCCTTTTTAGATAATTTAATGTTAGTATACAGAAATATAATTAAGTTTTGTATATTGACTTTGTATCTGAAACTCTACTAACTACATTTTTTAATCCTGATGGTTTAAAGAATTTTGTCAATAAATATGATTGTATCACCTTCAAGCAGACATAATTTTCCTTTCTTATTAATTTGCATGTCTTTTATTTCTTTTTCTTCCCTAGTTGCATTGAGAACATACAGCATTGTGTTGGATGAGTGCTAGCATTGAGCTTTCTTGCCTTGTTGCTGATTTCAGAGCCTTTGAGTGTAAGGCTGTGTACTTCTCACATACGTCTTTATTGCTTTGGGTTTTTTCCTCACTCTTCATGGCAATTTGATTGAGAGTTAGCAAAACTTAACACAACACCTGGATTCATAAGGTAGAAAAAGAGGAGGTGTCCACAAATGCAACTTCAAGGAAGGGCCTGCGGCTGTGAAAGGTGACACAGATGGTGTTCAAACAGAATAGAGAATAGGAATCAAATAGAGCCAGGGTGAAGCTAAAGGCTCCAGTAAAAGGCACCTGTGTTACCTTTTTGCAGCCTTGATTTCTATGACAGGAATTCTAAAATATTAATCTCTACCATGGCTCCAAAATTATTCCAATTGTTTCTACCTTCTCTTATACCCCTTCTGAGACTGGAAACCCAGAATGAAGTGATGAGAAGAAATGGAGAAATAATTAAAATATTCAGAGATAGGAGAAAAGAGAGAAAAAGAATGGTTAGATTAGTGAGGAAGAGACAGTTAAGTGAATTTGCAAAAGCAATATTTTTTTCATTTGCTTCAATGTTGCTACATGTAAAGTCCTAGAGATTTATTTGTTGCACAATAATGTGAAGATACTTAGTCCTACCACACTGTATACCCCAAAATGGTTAAGACGGTAAATTTAATGTTGTGCTTTTTACCACAATAAAAAATGTGACCTATACTTCACGTTTATAGAGCATAATGGGCTAGGCAGGCCTGCAAGGTGAACAGGAAAGTGTAGCACAGGAGGAAAGAGAGGGAAATGAGATCAGGGTGGTCATCCTACACTTGTCTTATTTCTCTATGAACCAAAGTCTCTTCAGAGACATCTTACATGTCCATGATGGTCATGTCCTGGATTTACCAAATTCTCCTAATTAGTCTTTAAGGTACAAAGAAAGTGTCCAGTGAGAAATTCTTCCTCTGTGAGATCTTTCTTATAAGTGAATCCCTGACCACTTTTTACATTTTTGGCAAAGGAATTGGGTTTCTGATCTTGGTTATTCTCACAGGCTAGCCTTGACCCAGAAGAGGTCACTGTTTCTTCCTGAGGAATCCTTCTTTTCTTTCCTCCCCTCCTGTGCTGTCTGCTTACTGGCACTGTAGGTGGAGGCAGTGCTGGGGTAGAGAAGCCCAGGTGGTTCTGTCTGATGTCAGCATCTGTGCAGTCAGCAGTTTTCTGACATCAGCAGCTTTGCTCATCTCTGCTGAAAACTGGAAGGCAATCTCTTGATCCCTGAGAGCATTTTATTCCTGTTTGTTGCTTTATTCTCAGGTACCTGGGGGCAAGAGGAGACATTGTTGCAACAGAATTAGTTTCCTATCCAGATATGTACTGATGTCTTCAGCACAGGCTCTCCATGATCTGTACTTTCCTGTCCTTCATCCTTGAGTTCCCAACTTCATGACCCCAGATTTATGTCTGACTCCAAGATGGGACTTGGATGCTTGAGACTATGAGGTCATCAGAGGAACTCCTTGGCTAGGGAAAGTTCAATCTACCATCTTTCTAGAATTTCTTTGTGGCCTATTGTTTTATAACTTGTAGGACCAAAGTTCTAAAGAGTCACTGCCTGCACAGTAAAGGTCAGAATCAATGATGATGGATGGAAAACAAATTGACCTGGTAATGTAGCAATACTTCATTAAAGCATCATTAACAAAAGATACTGAAAATTTAAACAAAAGTTTAAATTTCTATGAAGTGTGATCTATCAACATTTTTCCTTATTCTTTCTGAGTAGCATAATTAGAAGATCCATGATAATCCTAAATTAAAAAAATAGATCATCTCCTATTTTATTCTCTTTAAAAATGTAAGTGTTATATTCATTTGGAATTTATTTTGTAATAATTATTAAGGTAGACATCGAAGTTATTGGTTAATTTCTAAATGATTCTTCATTCATGGTAGCACATTTTAGCAAATATACCATACTTTGTTCATTTTAACTACTTTCCACAAGCTTTAGTGTTTGGACTTTCCATTATGTTCCATTGTGCTGTCTATGTGGCTCTGTTTTTCTATCTGTACACATCACACTTTCTCTTACTGAACATGGAGGGAATCTCTTCCCTTTCTATTTGAGAAATTGAAGACAAACTGAAACCTGACATTATCGGCAGTGTCCTCTTTGGCCTCTAGGGGGCGATGCTGTGCAACTTGAACTTGGGAGCAAGCCATCTGAGAAGAGCCTCTGGCTGCAGAGATGGGTTAAACTCACAGCCCAGTTGTGAGACCCTGTGTGGCTGAATTGTTTTCAGATTCTCCTGCATTCCATAGCTGGGAAATGATGCCCACTCTCATCCTGGTGCTCGTGGTAATGTTCACACTCAGTGAGTAAAGACTCTTTTCATTCAGCTTTTCTGTATGCTCCAACATAGGAGCAGTTTGTTCTCTCCAATCTGTAGGGGTTTTCGTGATTCAGAATTTATATTTCAGGAGGAGCAGGAGCCCAAAGAGTGACGCAGCCAGAGGACCACATCTCTGTCTTTGAAGGGGCCCCCGTGCAGGTGAAGTGCAACTACTCCTATTCTGGGAGTCCTGTGCTCTTCTGGTATGTCCAGTACCCCGACAAGGCCTCCAGCTCCTCCTGAAACACACCTCAGGAGACAGCACCAAAGGCTTCCGGGCCACTCTCAACAAGGCCAAAGCATCCTTCCACTTGCAGAAGCCCTGGGCTCAGGAGGAGGATGCAGCTGTGTACTTCTGTGCTCTTTGTGGCACAGTGACCGCTCTTGCAAGGGAAGCAGAGCGCAAACCCTTCAGAGTTATGCCAAGTACTTCCTGCCAGCCTGTCTATGGCCACAGTGGCACCTTCCTCTAGAGACTGGCATCCAGTCTACCTCTCAGACACAAATGTCATCTGTGGTAAGCCTCAGATTGACCTCAATAATTTGTCCACAAATGTTCTCATTACCTACTCTGCTTAACTTAGTTTAAAAAGAGATGAATTTATTTTATTCTGAAAGTGCCCAGGAGGGAACTTTAAAAATAAAAATTATATAGCAGAGTGTACAAAGGCATTTTAGGCCAGAGGGGCTGTCCAGGCTAAGTGGTGCAGCCGCCCTATCTCTCTGACTGACCCATGTCCCCACCTGTGCTCCTCAGCACATCCCTAGCACAGTTCCTCGCCAGTCTGTGCTGACTCAGTCCTGTGGTGCTGATCTCTTCATCTAATGCCTTTCCTCTCACGCACTTCACAGACTCCTCCTACCTCAATCAGGGTCTGGCCAGGGACTGGTGGGGGAGAAACACAGGACAGTTTAATACAAAAATTATTAAATAACAATGGGGGATTAGTTGCTGTGTCAGCTACTTTTGCATTGCTGTAGCCAAAATCCCTGAGAGAACAACCTAAAGGGAGGAATTACTTATTTTAGCTCACAGTTGCAGCTAACACCATGGCAGCCAGGAAGTAGACACAGGAGAGAGAGAGAGAGAGAGAGAGAGAGAGAGAGAGAGAGAGAGAGAGAGAGAAAGAGGCTGCTTGAACTGCGGACTTCTCTTTCCCCCTTCTGTTCTATCCAGGCCCCCAGCTATGGGTAGTGGGGGATCTTTCCCTGCCTGGCACATCCAGAAACATGCTTTTATAATCTCCTAGGTGCTTCTCAATCCAATATGTTAAAATCAAGATTAACTATGATAGCTACGAGTGGGTAAAAGGACTCTAAAGGATGCAGGAATAGCACATGTAAGGAGGAAGACTCGTCTCCAGGACTAAGGCAGAGTCCCAAGAAAGGAACACATTGGAATAAGCCTATCCTGGACTCCTCCTGCCAAGGTTATGATTCAGTCCTCATGGGGCGTGTGGAGCTCTAGCCTACTGCATGGTGAAGAAGTTTGCTGAGGTGCCAGACAAAAGTCTTGCAAATGGGAAAACACAATTTACAAGAAACTAAAAAAGAACTGCTGCTGCACTTGCTTGGGTGCCTGTGAAAACATCCAAGAAACTACCTATGGGATGTCACTGCACCTGCTGCAGTGCTCAGTAAAATTATTGCAAAAGAACATCAGCAGCTGTAAGCATTTAGAGGTTAAATGCACAGAGGAATGGATGTCAAATAATTAGAAACTCGTCACTGCAAGACACAGTGATCTGTTACTTAAACCTGTGTCAAAGAACTGGAACAGTTTGAGAGACCTTGTTGTATATTCTTTTGTAGTCATCCATTTCCTCTCTGGTCACTTTATATTAATTCGTTTATTAAAACAATGAGCCAAATGGAAAACTGAGAGCTACATTTCATAGTAGGTAGATTACAAGGAGTGCTTATGACTCATAATAAAATTTATTTTATTTTATTTTTTTGTTTATTCTCATATGTGCATACATTGTTCGGGTCATTTCTCCCCACTACCCCTCATGCACTATCCCCTTGCTTTCAGGCAGAATCTATTCTGCCCTTATCTCTAATTTTGTCAAAGAGAAAGTATAAGCAATTTTTGTAGTTGAGATAAGGATAGATATACAGAGAGATTCCTAGCATTGCTTCCATGTAAAAATGTGTTACATTCTAAGTTGATTCATCTCTGACTGACCATTTCTCTAGTCCCTGATCCCCTTAATAAAATTTATTTTAAATGAGTCCCCAAAAGTACCACTGAATAATGTAACATCAATATGTGACAGCTAGTTCAATCTGCAATTTCCCTTTGTTATACTCCTCAATACTAATGGCATTTCTCATGCCCCATTCTAGATTCTGTCTAGCTTAAGTAATAGGGAAAAACAAGTAGACAAAATAAAGTTTTGTGGTGTACCAGTATTTGTCCTCTGTGCACAAATCTCATCACCATGTTTTTTGAAACAAAGAAATGCCATTTCTTATTTGGGGGTGCAGCACAGGATCCAGGGTGGTGCATATCTACACTGCCAGACACTCAGAGACACTGGAATCTGAGCCTGAGGCAGAACAAGACACACTTGTCCAGAATGCCACGTCCAGGCAGGAGGGAGAAGAAGTTGTCTTGCACTGTTCATATGAGCCAAGTCAGCTCTCCTACTTTATTTTTGGGTATAAGCAGGTTCCCAGTGGAGAGATAAATTTCCTTATTCGTCAGAGTTCTTCTGGCCAGAATGCAAGGAACAGTGGGTATTCTTGTATTTTCAAGAACCAACTAATACTATCAGCCTCACCATTTCAGGCTTACAACTGGAAGATTCAGCCAAGTATTTCTGTGATCTCTGGGAGACCACAGTGTTGTAAATAACAGTAAAGGCTGAACAAAACCTCAGGAGCTGCATTAGCGAATATCCCTGTGCAATAGTCAGCTGGTAGGCACACCTGAGATACAGATGAGAAGGCAATGGCTGTGGTTCCTGAATTTGTGGTCTGGATCAGAAGATGTGATTTTAATTTCATTCTAATGTAATTTTTGGCATTTCTCAAAGGAACCAAGGAGAGGCTGAGGGCAACTTGCCATAAACTAACTCAATCATCTCATTTGTAGTTTTTCATGGGACAAGCAAAACCAAATTTTTGGAATTTGGGAGTTTGACAAAAACTCTATACTTGACAAATTTTCAGTATAAAGTGTAAAAGAGGGGCTGGTGGAGTTGGCTCAAGAGTGCATACTTAGCAAGCATGAGGTTCTGAATTTAAACCCTAGTACCAATTAAAAAAAAGTGGGAGAGACCCTTCAATCAACTCCCATATAGGGAAATATTTTTATTTTGCACAGTATTTATATTATTATAACTTTGGCTATTCTAACTGATAATACAGCATTTTAAAGAGTTTTTGTCTTCCTGAAAACTGTCACAAGTACTGCAAGATTGCTTCAAACAACAAGTGTACACTTGTGGCAACAATTTGGCTGAATGTGTGAATTGGAAGGCTCATTGCTCTCTCTTCCCTTGACTTCTGTTGAATTAAGCACAGAGTTATATTGTAAATAACAGGCCTTTACCTCTGCCATTGGGTCTCTATTACACAGCTGGAGAGACCTCAATACTGGAAACCTGTTATTTCATTTGCTTAAGCAGGTGCTCTGCTGATATGAAATTATAGTTCCCATGTTGGGGCGGGGTGAGGACTTTTGGTTTGCCTCTATAGGGAATCCCAGGACTGGAGAGTGTGTTTCACCTTAGAATCTGACCAGAGGCAGGAGAATATTCAAAATTTTAGTATTTTCAATTATAGCCAGAAGTCATAGTACTTTGTTTCAGAAAAGCCCCTCAGGTCTCATAACAGTAATTTATGAAATGTAGAAAATTTCAATGATAGATCTCTTTGAATTCTTCCTTCAATATTATTTTTTTCCCTTACCAGGTAGGATCATTTGTAAAGTAAATCATAAGGAAGGACTGAGAAATGTGAGGATGGAAAAACTCCCAACCTAGGTGTCACAATGCATTCAATCTTGACCAAACCTAGCTGCCTTTCAGAGGCACTGCCACCTGCTGCTGGCCTGGGATCTGCACTGTCAGAGCACAGAACAGGGCCAGGTCCACAGAGTGACATCCCCATGTCATGCTGTTTTCAGGATGCTGTGTATTCATGTTCTACCTGTGTTCAGTACCATAATTTCACCAAGATATTGGCTGCCTGACAGCACTCAGAGGGGATATGGACAGAGGAGTAAATGTCAAATAATTAAAAACTTGACCCTATACAATTCAGTGATCTGTTATTTAAACCTGTGAGAAAGAACTGGAGCAGGTTCAGAGATTTTGTCTGTACTTTCTTTTCTAATCACCTGTTTGCCTTTTGCTCTCTTTATGCTAATTTACCTATTAAAATGATGAAATCAAATAGAATATTAGCAACCATGTTTCACATGATCATATGTGAGCATACAAGAATTCAGTGACCAGTTCATGTGGTGCTGACATGTCCCTACATGCTGGCAGCCTGTATATGTGTCACATTGAGTAGGAGTAGATTAAAGCATTGTGTCACAGAAAGAGCTGTATGCATATCATGAAGTTATCTTACAAATGACAAAACAATCTGTGCTTACCCTGTGAGACTGAGTCTCTCACATCAGCAGTATAGAAAATGTGACATCAGAACAATTCTAGCACACAAGAACTTGTAAGTCCAATTCTTGCTGTTGAGGTGACAGGACTGAAAGATTTCATAATCTTAAAACCTAGAAGCTAGGTAATCTCTGCAATGTTTTTGAAATATCTCAGATAATTTACCTTTATATTTTCACAAAACATAAGCCACTGAATATTTTCTTTTATCATACAGTTTAGAAGTAACTTTCTTAATTGTAGAATTTAAGTAGCTCCAAAATTACTGTAAGGAAGCAAAAGAGATGTTTGATTGTTATGGATCCCATTGCCTTTCTTGGAGAAAGACAAAAGGCCTGTGAGGAGTTTTTATTTCTCATAAATTTTATTTGATTTTGCATGGAGAAAAGGAACATATGTTAAATTAATGTCTAGTAAGCAATTACAAGGAGAGTGCATGGCTCATAATAAATTCTACTTTAAACAAATCCCAAACTTTCCCATTGAATAACATCAATGTGTGTAAAGTGGTTCTATTTGCATCCTCCTCAGCTCCAACCCTCAACACTAACAGTATTTCTCATGCCCACTTCCCAATTTTAGAAGTATCTTAACTTAAGTAACAGGGGAAGATAAGTAGACAGAGTTACAGTTGTGGTGAGCCACACTTTTCTTATCTGTGCACAGACCTCATAGTCTGTGAACATAAAAAACCCTATTTCCTGTTTTGGAGCACAGCACAAAATCCCAGGTGGCACATACGTACACTGTCAGACACTCAGAGACAGAGTGTGCTTTACATGTACCTGAGGGGAAATGGGCACTCGAGAAAAGCAAGCAAACTGTGACTGCAGTTTGGTTTG